ATCTTAAATATCCACGTATATTTCTCTCTTTGAAACTCGTTTCTCATCGCGTCATGTCGCTTAAATGGCTTTTTGGCAAGCCACAAGCGAATTTTGTTTCATGTTAATTAATTAAACGCAATTGGCAATTAGCTACTAGATGTATTTATACATATGCATATATAGGTAAGTATACTTTTCCAAGTCCATATTGCATGGCTATTTTGGACTGTCTTCAATTGCCGTTAGTTCGAAAAAAAAAACCATTACGATACAATTTTCCTTATAAAAAAAACCTAAATAGATCAAACTAGTCTCATCTCAGTTTTGTAAATTAACTCAGATTACAAAATTGTTCGCACGGAATGTGATATATTTTACTTGAGCTAAAAACGCAAATATTCCTTTTTAAAACCCTGCAAATTTCGAGGCTTAGGTAGCACTTAGTAAAGCATAAAATTAAAAAATAAGAAATTCTAATTGCTTATATTTAGAATATTTAAAACATAATTATCATACTGTTCATTTCTTTTATTATCATCATTGCACTAAAGAAAGCATCTCAATTGTAGACTTATGTCATCACGATTGTAATCATAATTATATAATAAATATATGTATATAGATTGAAGTTTTATTTGTTATAATACTCCTTGAGTTTTATCCAAGATTTTTTTTTTCTTCATTAAAAAATAATTAATTTTATTAAAATAAAGAATCTTAGAACTTGACGTATAAATTCGTATAATTATATTCTTAAATATTACAGCTATTACCCCATATACATACTTCTATATAATTCTTAATTCTAGAACCTAAATATGCTATATAAAATGTGCAATTAATTAACATGCTTTAGATTCTGTTTAATTTTTTCATGTCTCATGTTGAAATCCAAAATAGTTAAATTATGAAATTAATTTGCAACAAGACGCAGACAGACACGTATACTCACACACACACTCACACTCACACGCACACATAATTAGAGTTGAAATTGTAAACTAAACCAAAACTGGCTGCATCTTATGGTCAGTTCGAACGACTAACACTCGTTGTGATGCAATTGAAAGTGTGTCAACAGCTTTGGCATCAACTGCAGCAGTCGCAGCAGCAGCAGCAACTGAAACAGTGGAGCATTTAATATTTGTGCAGCCTGGACTCTCTGCATTGCATATTTTGTTTTTCATTTAAACTTTCCATCACTGACACCATGACATAATTATTTTGGTTAAAAACTAAACAAATATAACCAGCCCAGCCTGATTAGGTGAACGACCCAAACCCCAGATCCCCATTTTCCTACTCTCTAAAGCTGGCAACCGGATTCTGCTCATATTTGGTAGCTACTTGTTTTTCTTGATTTCTCGCGCTTTTTCGCATTTATTTTACAGTTTTTAATCACAGCGAAAATATATATTTTTTTTTATATATATATATATTTATATTTATTTTATATGTTGTATGGAATACTCTTTGTGCAACATGGGCTTGAAGTAAACTAATTGATTTAGATTAGGCTGTATTTATCATAGACATTATATAAACAATTTCTAATACAGTTTATGATGTGTTTTATTATGGGTGATACCTAAGACCTCTGCTATTATTGAGATTAAATATATATATTTTAATCAGTATTTATATTTTAAAATTCAAATATATATATATATTTTTTTTTTAATTGCAATATGTTTTTAAAATCTGTATATATGAAGTTCGATAAATATTATGGGACTAATTAATAAACTACATTTACTAAATACATATCTTATATTAAATATCAAAATATTATCAAAGTATGTAAATTATGTATAGAGTATAGACTATCTGAGCAACTGTAACTTATTTACGTATTTTTTAGGGTATTCAATGTCCACTTACAATACATATCAATTATCACGTATACGACGCACCTGCCCAAAAATTCATACAGTAACGTTAACAACCAAGGACATTACCTGTGCTTGGCACTTGGGTCACAACCGGTTCAGGTAAAACAAAGATTATGCTGCTGCACAGCTGCGACTTCCGTTCTGCTGTAGTGCAGCAAAAAACTTTTAACGCTTGCGCAACTCTTGTATATATAATTTTTATTATTATTTTTTTTTTTTTTTGACAGAACCCATTTAGTGCGGCCAAAGCTAATAGCAATTTATGGAATTTATGGCAAGTTGCGCGGCTTCCTGGTTAACATTTGTGGCAAACGGAATCAGGTTTATGGGGCATGTGGCCAAAGACAAGATGACGTAATCGGAAAATCGCAAACGCTGCCTGCCCGCTAAAGGCAGAGCCGGCAGTCGCCACTTCGCCACTTCGCCACTTGGCCAGTTGGCCAGTCGAGATTCGGGCATTTGGTAGACACCTGGACTCACCTGCACCTTCATCACCTCGCGCATTTCCGTCTTGTAGGAGGGACAGCGCGGCGGTATCTCCAGGCACCAGGTGGAGGTGCGCACTCGCACCGGCTGCACCTCGGGCACCTGCAGCAGCTCCTCGTACGGCTCCTCGCGCGTGCAAATGTTGCCCGTGCTCTGTATTGAGGGCAACGCCATGGCCGTTGCATTCACATCCTTGAGGTAAGTATTCACACGTAGGCTATTGTTTTGGCTGTCGCTGGCGACAACTTGCAGCAGCAACAGCAACAGCAGCATTGGCAGCACTGATAGCCGCAAGTTGCAACACACTTGCGGCAGCTTCATGTTATCTGATATTGATTTGCAGAATTTGAAATCGTTTGGTTTTTAATTTACTTATTTATTTGAGTAGTTTACTTACTAAAGTCCAAATTTAATTAAAATATTTTTATAAAATATTATTTTTATACAAAATGAATTGTATTTTAATTAGTTAATTGTATTTATGCTTTTCTTTATTCCCTAATAATTTCTTTTATTACTTTTATTTTGTGTTTTTACGACGATTGTAATGAAATATCATATATTTATGTGTTTAGAAATTAATTAATTTGAATAATTTTAATTTTTATACATTTTTTTATGCGTACAATTCTTATTTATTTTAGCTAGTTTATTTATTTAGCTAGTTTGAGAAAACAGTTTCTTTTTAATAACCAAATTAATTATATGTATTATTCTAAAGAAGTTAATTTAATTTTTTTTTAATTTTGAATTTTGCTTTATTTAGTTTATTATAATTTTATTTTTTACTTTCAAAAAATGGATCTTATATTTTTTATTTATTTTTTATTAATATGTTTGTTTATACAAATTTTTATTTTGAGAATTTGCTATTATATTGTATTTTATTTAATTTTTTGCCATTTTTTGCTTTCACTTTCGAAATTCACATTTCTTATAATATTGTAATATTTATATATTTGGTCTTATGATCCTTTGAGACTAAAATTCTTAAATCAGTCGTGAATATTTTCCATATATATTTTTATTTTTTTTAGGTCATTTGTTTAGTTACTTGAACCAATTCTCTGCCTTATTATGCTGCTAGAACTTTCTTTAACTTTCACTAGATTTACAAAGGTTCTTAAATCAGAATCTTTCCGCTCGAAATGCGTTGCGTGTGCGCTTGGAACGCGACTCTCGTAGTGACTGTTGTTTTCCCCGTTGGTGGCGATTCAATAGCACGTCTGTGTCTGGTCGCGTGTTCCTTCTCCAAAATCAGTGAAACAGTAAACAAATGGGGAAAACATATACATATATGCATCTGTGTTTGTGTATATCAAATTGTTGTCATTGCAAATTGGCGAAGCCGACGACACTTTTTGTCGAGCTCATGAAGGCCGCTGTTCCGGAGCGGGGCACAGCGGGGGCGTACGGGCGACAGGGCGGAAGTACGCACTGCATACAGTTCGAACTCTACAATGAAAGTGAAATGCGAAACATACATACAAATACACAGATACATAAGCTAGTCTACAGTGCAACTCTACACACGATCAACTCTTGAGTTCTCTCTCTCTCTCTCTCTGTCTGCCTCAGTCTCTCCCTCTCTCACCCCCATTCGTTTACGATGATTGCACCTAATTGAAATGTTGATAATGTCCTTAACATGTTTGTTGTTGCTGCTGCTGCTGCTGCCGTTAAAGCGAGGTAAACGCGCTTTTTGTTTTTGTTACTTGCGCTTTTCTGTTGACAGTCGGCGACAGTTGACGGAACGTGGGAGAATGCATAAATTAACGTAAAACTTACATTTAAATGAAGAAATCGGATTTGTATCTGAATTGAGAGAAACAACTTTAATTTGTTGCTGGGCTGTCTCAAATTGTGTGCTGTAATCATCTCATTAAATTCGACACCTTTTGCGATTTGATTAGATTCACTTTTATTAACAGAATTTGAGTCAAAAGAATAATAAATAGAGCTTTTGAATGTTTGCCATCTCTTGATATCTTATCAATATTAAATTGTCTTCCATTAAGACAAATTTTAATTTAGAAAATTGCAGCAAAAGTTTCATTGGACCCTATCATCATCTTTATCTAAAATCCTTTATGGCGCTTGCCACGTCAACTTCCATTCAGACGCTTGGTTTAGCTTATTGATTGTAATGGGTTTTATAAACAAACTGAAACACGCCTCCCCTGCCGCCCTCGCCCCACCCTCTGGTACGCCCCTGCGCTGATAGACAGCGAAAACAACGCTCAGTCAGCTCAAGTGTCTGATTTCTTAGACAAACTTTGAGAACAAAGCTGACACTGAGCTGCCTGCAGACCCCCGCTGGCCCCCATCTGTGGTCAGGCCACGCCCCGAAAGCGACCCGGCGTTGATTATCTTGTTTACACTGAAGTTGCAGTTGCTGTTGCAGTTGTTATTGCTTATTGTGGCTTGCAATTTATTAAATCAAATTTACAAAAACAAAGCAAAAACCAGTTGAGCTGAGAGCGAGAAAAAAGTAATTTTTATGTTTATGATTTGATTCAATTATGAAGCAACAACAACGGCTGCAATGTGCGTGCGACGCTGGCGTTCCAATGACCCGCATCAAAGCTGCCACGCCCCCTACACCACCCCCTGTATTACAGTGTATAAATAATTGTATGCTTTTCGTTTTGCATTCATTAACATTTTTATTGTTTTTGGCTTTGTTTCAAGTTCAACTCGAGTTGACTTGACTTAAAGCGGAAATCAACATATATGTATATTTATATATATTCACATTTATATATTTTACAGACATGCTATGCTCTCTTATATTAGAGAATAGCTCAGCCAGCTGCTTAGGCCAAGTAACACCAGACTGAACAGAGGACTCGCTGCAGCATTGTAATAGCCACCAAAGATCTGGAGTCCGGCTGTCTCGATGCTGCGCTTGCAGTAATCCCCATCGTAATTCCAGCCCACATACTCGTTGGTGCGCAACGCCTCCTGGCGTAGCCATTCCTCGAGCGGTGCAAAGTATTCCCGTAGAGCACTGCCATCCAGACGACCCTCGCCTAGGGTTTCCTGTAGAACCTCTTGCCAGGGCTGGGAGGCGCCCTTGGCCATCAGTTGCCTAAGTGGGGGTGGAGGAAAAGGTGGAGAGACAAAATTGGGTAAATTTAAATTAATAAAAGTTAAAGTATATATTTTATATTATATTTTATTTTATAAAGCTTAAAAATATAATTCAAAAGCTAAGCTAGAACTCTATTAGGCATAAGCATAACAAAGTAGATATTACTGCAAATTAATCTTCATTAATTAGAGAAGAATTTATTAATTACGTTATTCACTTACTTTAATAGATTGCCCGCGGCTGGCTGCCGATAGATGTCGCATTTGTGGAGCGGCTTTCGCGGATCGTTGGGCACATATTGGCCGGCGGCACGGCACATGCTGCGATATAGCTGAAACTGCAGCACCGTGGAGAAAAAGTATCTGCAAGATACAAAACAAGATATGATATATCATTATATATACATATATATGCAACTTGGATTAACATGACTTTTAGAACGGACAGAGTCACGCTTATTGATCGCATGCGAGTCGAACGTTCAAAAAATTGTCAATTGTTCTGCATTGGGTGAGAGTTGAGCTGAGCTGCTAACAAAGCCAACTTGTTGTGGTGCAGAGAATGTGGCTCAAGGTCGCACCGCAATTGCAACTAAGCCAGAACAAATTGCGAAAGGTTTTGCATTTCGACATCGTATACGTTTATTATCCGGTATACGCCAGATCAGCTCTCATCCAATCACAAACTAGACTACATATGTATGTATATTGGTAATTAAAACTGTTTTACAATTTTTTACAAATAAAATATATTTTGTTTAAAAAAGAAAAAAAATATATATATACAAATTTAATTGCATACCCTCGTGGGACGATTCGACATAAAATTCGGCTTAAAATACAGCTGACATATCAGGCCAACATAAATAAGCAGAAGGAATGAGCAGAAAAAATGTTAACAAAGGGAGATATGTTAATTAACAGTGTTATCCGCCGTTAGCTTACAGCGCTCTCCACTAATAACATACTGAGAGGCTGTTAAAGAACATCTGTAGTTCATGTTCAGTCAAAAACAGCGGAGAGGAGAGGAGCTGTTAAGCCTCTATAGGTTAATGTTAGCTGCTTCAGGTATAATGAGCCTGATTCTGAATTATAACAAACTATTCTAAGCTTTATCTTAAAGTTTATTATAGAAATTAAAAAAATAAAAATTAAAAATTAAAATGAATAATCTTTAGGCCATCAATGCAAATATTACAATATATTTGGTACCATATAACTCAGATGTATATAGATATACAAATATAGGTCAGCTACAAACCATTAAGTGGGCGTGCCAAATATACAAACAGCTTGAAAAAGACCACAACTAATATATGTTCATATATTTAAATAAGTCGGGAATTTTTTTATATTATCTCTGTAGAGATTCCTAATCGTTGTTATATTATATTAGAAGCTTTTGCATAATATATTATATTAATGCTCCGGGCCATCTGAGGCTGGTTCCATTGTATTCTTTAGTTTGTCTCAAGGTTTGTTTTTGTTTGTAGCACAATAGCTGCAAAAAAGTGCCGAGTCATAATGAAATTGATTTTGTTTTACATTTTTTAATAATTTTGGATTTTGTTGACTGATTCCAGAACAAGTTCAGCGATAGATTTATTTTTATCTTTTTTTTTTTTTTTTTTTTTTTTTTTTTTTTTTTTTTTTGCGCGAATCAGCTGTGAATTTTGATGAGTTTGATGAGTTTTTGGACTCTATGGATGCTGAACTCAAATGATGCTGAAGCAAGTTCTAAGCGCAGCAGACGAGTTTTGCAAGGCGCGATTAGATCGATTTGGTCTATTGTTTGCACGGGGGATTCACCGATCTTACCCGGTCGCTAGCTAATTATGTTGGTGAGAGAACAAACAGCAACAATATTCTTATTATTATTTGCAAATCTTTGATTTATATGTCATTACAAGACTTAAAGCGATATTACTATAGCATAACCTTTGCCGGAGTCCAAGTTACCTAGAATTCTGAACTGTATGAAGAGTTTAATAACTGTAGTTGTAATTGTTGCCAATTGGTACTTTAAGATCAGGTACTCTAGCATAATGTATTACAATTTTAGAGCATAAGCAGAATCAGTTTATGCGAACCCATACGTAAGTGGGAATATAATAATCTGGAAATTAATTGGAAATGATGATTAAGGTTAAAATGATTGTCCAAACTAATTTCAAAAAAAAAATAAAAAAAATAATAATAATAATTAATAATTAAATCAGGAGTCCGACTGATTCTCCTTTTAATTATTATTATTAGCCCAAACAATATGCATAATTTAATGCGTATTTTTTATTGGTCTCTTCACTACAAAAAGAAATGTTTATGTAAATATTAGGTATGTAAATGATATGCATAATGAGTTTACAAACTCAACAAAATTAAATTGCCATAATTCTCATACAGAACTCGTCAGCCTAATTTGATAACATTTACCTTACGGTTACATCTGTTATTTAACATATGCAAAACTAATTCAACGGCATTTAAATTCAAAATTAAATATGTGTGATCTAAATTAAAATTTCATTTTACATTTAGGCACAAAAGTTCTTTAAAATTTTTGCATAATTCATAAGCGTAATTTGCACCTGAAGAAAATTACTTTACATAATTTTAATGTTGTATTCACAGCTTTCTAATCAGTAGTCTAGAGATCTAGTAAAGTCTTAAACTATAATATTTTTTCGGAACTTTAAGGCTTTCTGGCTTTCCCAATCTAGACAACTTTTGTATTCCATTTCAGCTCAAAATTATTATTTTTATGCTTTAAATGCAGCAATAGCAGATTTTTTGAAATACAAGATTTTCAAAAAGAAAATTAAGGAGAAAAAAAAAACAGCAAAGACAAAATAATAATTGCATACTTGGGCTAGTAAATAGTAGTTGGCGGCCAAAGTCTTTTGATACGAAATATCAAATTATACAATTGCTGCGTACGTGCCAATTGCGATTGTTTTGCTGTTTTGTGGCATTTTGTAGATCGTCGATCGTAAACAGCGCTGAACTGGCGAATTGAACTGTTGTGCCGTGGAATGGTTATGGAACCATTCATTAGCGCCAAGCTGTTTAACGACATTGCTCATACGCCCCGCAGCACCAAGCATAAAGATTACAGCTGCCTGGCTATAGCATGATTGAAGCCGTTTTTGTGAATGGCTTTTGTGGCAGCAGCAGCCGCAGCAGCAGCAGCCTTTAGAGAATTACAGATTTTTCAAATATTTTTGCGAGCGGCGAGAAACACATGTTTCATGTGCCAAGCAAAGCAGCTGAAAAGAATTTTCGCAATATTTAATTTTAGCACTAAAAAAATTCAGAAAAAAAAAATTGGACTAATTGCCGACCGACTAACTGACTGACTGATTGACTGGACGAGCGTTAACCCCCAGTTGTTGATTGAATGATTGAGTGGCAGTGGCAACTAGTCGACACACAGACATAAAGTCGAACAGCTGCTGCTGCTGCTTCGGCTGCTTTGACTGCTAATCCCTGTTATTGGGTCATGTCTCAGACACCGTTGCAGCCTACAGTCTACAGTCTTCAGTCTTCTCTGGGAAAATGTGGCCACGATGTGGCAACTGCTGCCAAGTGCCAAAAAAAAAAAAAAAAAAAAACACAACACACCAAGTTGCTGTTGTTGTTGTTGTTGTTGTTGCTACTGCTGCTGATGCACTTAATGGCACTTTGGCACGTCGTTTCTCTAACTTCTGCAAGTCGAGCCGTGATCGAACATTGTGAAAAGTGTGCATTAAAATGAATTTTTTGTTTTGTTTTTAGTTATTTTGCTCGTTGCTGCTCGTTGTTGGGTTTTTCCTTCTTGCAAAATTCTCTTGGGAAATGCTTGGGGAATGTGTGAAAACCTAATGTATGGCATTTGATTGAGCTAAGAAATTATTAAGATAATAAATTGAGTAGCTTCTGTGTTTGATGTCTGGAAAAATGCATATACATAGATGGGACTATCTCTATTCAAACGACCATTTCCCCCTATATTTCTCAATTTATCACTACATTTATATTTATATTTTTAATTTCCGAATTTATCGATGGCCTTGGTCATTCATACTCCAGTAATATAATATTTATCATGGGAATTTCTACTTTTTTTTTTTTTTTTTTTTTTTTTTTTTTTTTTTTTTTTTGACAATCCTTCTTTAACTCTCTATCTGTCTATCGTATTCTGAAGCATACTCTTGAGATATTTTTACTTCAATTTATCTCTGTATCCCTTTCTCAAACTCGATATCTCTTAAGAACAAAATATCTCTTAAAGATATTATATCATGTTTTCTATACATATATAAAAAAAAAACTACTATTTTCCATTCTAATTTAGATTACGAAAATTTTCCATCAGCTGTCACATTGTCTGGCTGAAAAGTGACAAATGTCAAGGTCACGTTGTCAAATAATCAAATGACAAAACAAAAATTATTTTCGCTCTTTCAAGCGCAACAATGTGAAGAAAACCTATGACAATGGAAACCCAAAAACCACAAGAAAACACGAAAAAAAAGTTGTGTCAAGCCACCAAATTATATGCCCAAAAGTTATTGGACATGTCAGCATTTTGGCCATTTCATAGCTTTTTTCTCTTTCAGTTTTCAGAGTCTTGTCAGACGCGTCCAGCGAAACGTTTCGAATGCATTGGCCGCTTGGCTGGCTAGCAGTGGTCAGTGGTTTAGTGGGTTAGTGGTTGGCTGCTTGTCCGCTTGCATTGGACATTGAACCACATTTGTCTGCTGTCCCGCTCTCACTCCCTCCCTGCCTCTTTCTCTCTCGCTCACCTAGTAAATGACCTTAACGTGCTTATATCAACGTGACATTCACAGCACAGATACAATATAAACTTATTTGAATTGCAACTGATCAACGTTTATGCCCAGCGCGTTATACACATAAAAGTCTCTCAGCTCGAGTAGCTAAAAAACTTGGCTCTAAAATGAATTGAGAGCATTTATGAGACCGCTGGGCATAAACAGCAGTAACTGCAGCCTCTGAAGAGCTTTATAACTTGTAAACGTTTTGAAAACAAGATTTAATGAACAGCAGCTCAGTTTATGTCTCTCGAAATGGGGGAAAAAATGATTGCCCCTGAAGACATGGCTAGATTGTAAGCTAAGCTAAGCTTGTATCGAGAGAATTTTATAGCATCAAGTGTTAGCTACTGCTTATACATATATATTAAAGAATATAATGCAAACAAATTGGTAGCTGTAGAAACGAATTTTTAAATTGAATAACACTTCAATTAAAATTGGTATGAAACTTAAAACAACTAATACTTTAGAAACAAAAATTGTTGTTCTACAAAATTAAAAGAGGATGTTGTTTTTTAACTATTTTCGAATATACTAAAAAAAAAG